GATCTCTCTCAAAATCTATAATTGACAGCCATTATGAAAGCAATTACATAAATTAAACGCAAATCCTTCCCATATAACAGCACTTGTAGCATACTGCTGCAGAGAGCTTTTTAAATACTGGCTTAGGGTGCTGTGCTTTAAGTGTCAGGAAGATAACTTTATGAGATCTTCCTGCTACTTCTGCCGTGTGTGGGGAACTGGCACGGAACAAGAGCGAAGGCCCGCCCTGAACATACCAGGAAATCTTTTATGACTATGAATATTTTTTTTGTCTTTTTTTTTTTTTCCCTTCAGAGCTGAGGACTGAACCCAGGGCCCTGTGCTTGCTAGGCAAGTGCTCCACCACTGAGCTAAAACCCCAACCCCTACGACTATGAATATTTTACTTGGTGCATCTTCATTATAGAACCCCATGTTTTATCGACATTCTGTAGGCTTCTGAGAAAGGTCACTAGCTGGAGTCAATTAGCTTACTATGAAATTTGCTGCTGAACAGGTGTGAAAATAACAGTTGACTTAGTAATTGAATTATAGAATGGTAACTTTGAAAGTAAACTTTGCACATCCTTTTGAACATCTGTTGACTCTCACGTGCAGCCTGGGCTGTGCAGAAAATGTGAAGCTGGTGGTACTTAATTGAAAAGGTAGGGAAGGGCCACACCAAGACCTTGTCTAGAATTCTTGACACTGGAGTACTAGTTAGGCCCATGTGGAGTTACTATATAATCTCTCTCTTCCTCAGTAAGGAAACACTTCATACTTGATGCCAGACTTCTGCCATTTTACTTGGAAAAGGATGAGATGGAAGTAAAAGACATCATATGGGTTAGAAAAAAAAAAGTAAATTAGGAATGTAGAATTTACCTGCACAGCAGGTAAAGTACTATGTTAGCATGAGGCCTGAGTTCAGATCCCCAGCAGCCGTGTAAGCGAGGCATGGATGGCGGCTTGTGTTTGTAGCTGCAGCATTGGAGAGAGAGCAGAGACAGATCCCTGGAACTCACTGACCAGCCAGCCTAGCCAGGGTTAGTGAGAGACCATGTCTCAAAAAATAAGGTAGAGAGTGATTGGGGTAGATACCCGATACTGACTTTTGCCCTTCACACACACCATATGCGTGAATGTATGTGCGTACAAATGTGTACACACACACAAATTTTTAAATGAGAAGGTAGAATCTTATTCTAACCTAGATTAATCCTTTATAATTTGATTTGTTCCTATCTCCCAATTCCCAAGTTTGAACTTGATGCTTCATTTCCATAGGGCAGAATGACATTTTTGGAACATTTTTTGTTTTCCTGGCTTCATTAGTAAATTTTGTGATTTAAAGTTGTTTAACTTCTTTGTCTAGGAGTCACCTTTGCTAGCCCCAGTTGGCTCATGAAGTCAGAGAAATAACTGTGATGACATTACCCACCACAACATCTGACCTTCAGTATGCATTACCTACTTGTGCTTTGCATTTCAACAGCAATAGAGATGCCTCGGTTGAAAGTGGCTCCACATGTTTTAAAACCAGATACTTGGACAGAAAGATTGTAAGAGCTAGGGAGGAGGTGCATGACCACGTGGAAACAGTCCTACAGGCACCTGGGACCTTTCTCATACAAACCTACAGCAATGGTGTCAGCATGCACAATACCCATA